CCTCGCCTCCCCCCCCCTCGCAAGCAGTGGCGAAGCGGAACGGCTCGCCTATAGCCCCACCAAGAACTGTGTGTGGTTCCCACGAAAGGTTCTTAGAACATTTCTGGCTGGGGCTGTCTTGTTTTAACACATCGGGCTTATGTTCTAAGAACACTGTTCTTGTTATTAGAACATTTCTGGGTTCTGAGAACACTTCGCGGTATGACTATAGGAATGCCGGGACGGTCGGCCCCTGCTCAACCCTCCCCGCCCCCTCCAGACCGATCTTCTGAAATCCCAACCAGCCCAGACCTTGACTGCCCTGAGACGCCCGTGCTGACACGCAGCGCCCGCCGTGTTCAGCACGCCCGTGTGAGCACGCTGCGCGCCGGTTCGGCACGCGTTGGCCCACGTTTTGGCGAGCGTGTCGCGCCTGACTGAGCGTTGACCTACGCTGACCTACGTACTCAGTCCAGTCCACGTATGCAGTATCCACGCGTTGACCTGCGTATTCAGTCCACGTGCTGAGCTCCGCGTCAACGCGCCACGGGCTGCGTCATGGCGTGTCGGGGCAGCGCGAAACAGTCCGGACCCCCAGGCCGCCTCCATGCCGTGGGGGTGGACCTTCGGGGACCTCGGCACACAGGCGACGTGGATGCTGCTCGGCCTGGGGGGGGGCAGTCTCGGGGGCCCCCAGGACGGTGTGGTGACCACATCGTGTGATGGGCCAGTAGGGATTCGGGGCCACCGCACGGCTTGTGGGGCTATGGTTGTGCTCCGAGGACGTCTCGGGCGGCCCCGGGCCTAGGTCCCAAGACCGCGGGGTGTCGGTCCGCGCGGTGAGGTCTCTTTTCGATTCCGAGAGGGCCGCGCGGTTTGTAACCACACGGCTTTCGGACCCCCCAACAGCCATAACATATACATATGTATTTTTATATGTATGTGCATTCTGCATATATATATATGTATATATATGTATATATGTACACGATATATTATGTGTATATATGCCGCCTGCCGAGGTCTCCGAAGGGTCGATCCCCCAAGCGGCGGTTCTGGATACCATCCCCGCCTCACAGAGGAGCGCCCTGGCCGGGACTTTGTGGACCGCCTGTGGCTGGACGCCGCCGCGCGCTGCGCCAGCGCGCAGTGCCTCGTGGAGCTGGTGCTCGGATGGCGAGGGCCACGGTGGGGAATGTTTGGGTTAGCGTGTCGTTCCGCTGGTTCTGGCCCACCACGCTTCGACGCGACACGCTGTCCACGTCCTGTTCCGCAGGCGTCAGCGCCCCGAGCCTTTCTCAGCCTCCCGCCCCTCGGTGCGGAGCGACACGCCATCCGCGACACGCTGAGCACAAATCTCTGACCGCATGTCCAGATCTTTCCATCCGGGTGTCTTTCAGAGCTTTCCAGACTGTTCAGTTGGCTTCCTCCTCCTCCGCCTGCAGCCCAGGCTCCCTCGCAGCGGTCCGCGACTCACTTGCGTCCGCCCTTGGTGGCGCGGCCCTACGGGAGGCGCTCCATTGGGAAACGACAGGAGTGGGAGGCAGGGGATCTCCGGGGGCCGCGTCCGGGCCCCAGGGCCGTCAATCCTGGATCTGGGGCGAGATGCTGTCCCCAGGGGAGGGGGTGGGAGCTCCCCGGGGCCGCGCATCGAAAGATCGGATCGTCGGATGTCTGGGAACTGCACCGACATACCCTGCGATGCAAGCGTCGCAACTTCTTGACGCGGGGCGTGCCCGCTTGGTCTCCGGCCCCGTGGCCCTCGCGGAGCGGCCCGGCCCGAGAAGTGCCGAGGTGCGGTCCAGTGCTCTGGCCGTGATGTTCTCTGACTTTGCACCTCTTTCCCTCCGTCGGGTCTCCTTGGCATCACCCCGACAGCTCCGTTCCACGTGCGCGCGGGCTCGAGGGGGGGGGGGCGAAGCGCGCACTCCGAGCCGTGCGTGAGGTGTTGGAGCGCTGGGCCCCCCAGGCCCCCCCCCCCCTGGACACGCTGACGACTGGGTCCACCCCCCTCGCTTCCCGAGGGTGCCGCCGCCCGGGCCTGGGCCCCGTTCTCGGCCCCCCGGGGGGGGGGGCCCGCTCGCCCCCTCAGGTGGGGCCACGGCAGCCGCCGACGGGGGCTCAAGATCGCGCCGGCGGGGCCGCGAGGCCGTCGAGTCGTGCGCTCGCTTGACGTCGCCGCGCGGCAGAGTCGGTCCGCACGCGCGCTCGGGCAAGCCGCGCCACGGCACTGCGAAGTGTCCCGAATGCGCGGCAGTGTGCCAGTAATCCAGAGTGGCCCTGGAAGCTTTTCAGACGCCCCGCGAAGGCCCCGAGAGGGTCCGCCGAGAGGGCGCCGGCTTGCCAAGCTCATTGTCTTCCTCTCTGTGCGTTTGCCAGTTTCCAACGTCCCCGCGAGTTCTGTTGGCGCCAGGCCGCTCAAGACAGCCCGAGAGACCCCCAAGGTCGCCCCAAGACGGCCCATGAGGCCGCCAAGAGGCCCCCAGAGGCTCCACAACCGCTTCAAAGAGGCTCCCGAGAATCTTCTGAACAGACCCCTAGAGTGCCCTCAAAGGCCTCGCGCCCACATGCTAGATATTGCTCCCCGAGTGGTTCCCGTGTGCTCCATATCTTTACACGTCCCCTACCTTAGCAACATGTTCCGCAATCTCGCTGCCTTATAGCTCTGCTTGCCCTCACGTGGTGCGTTTTATTAACCTGGCCACTCGTGACGAATTGAGAATGGTGGTAGTGGTGGTTGTGGTGGAATTGGTGGTGGTGTTGGTGATGGTGGTGATGCTGATGCTGATGCTGGTGCTAATGCTGATGCTGCTGATGCTGATGATGGTGATGATGATGATGATGATGATGCCGATGATGATATCGATGACGATGATGATGATGATGATGATGATGATGATGATGATGATGATCATGATCATGATCATGATCATGATGATGATGATGATGATGATGATGATGCTGATGCTGATGCTGATGCTGATGATGATGACTGTGATGATGATGTTGATGCTGATGCTGATGCTGATGCTGATGATGATGATGATGATGATGATGATGATGATGATGATGATGATGATGATGATGATGATGATGATGATGATGATGATGATGATGATGATGATGATGATGATGATGACTATGATGATGCTGCTGATGATGACGATGCTGATGATATTGATATTGATATTGATTTTGATGTTGATTACCTAACAGCTTTTGCTGATAGGTTTCTAGTGGTGTCAAAAAAGAGCAGCAGATGACTCCACAGGGGGGTCGGGGCGGGACCCGGGGAGCTGTGTCCGAACTGGTGTCCGAATGCGATTTTCGCAAACAGTCACACACTTCGTGCTCTTCGACCTCCCAGAACTCCATTCCCGGGCCTCATTCTGAATGCCCGGAGCCAACTGTAGGCCACTTCGTGCTCTTCGACTTCCCAGAACTCCACTCCCGGGCCACATTTTGAATGCCCGGAGCCAACTGTAGGCCACTTCGTGCTCTTCGAGTGCCCAGAACTCCACTCCCGGGCCACATTTTGAATGCCCGGAGCCAACTGTAGGCCACTTCGTGCTCTTCGAGTTCCCAGAACTCCATTCCCGGGCCACATTTTGAATGCCCGGAGCCAACTGTAGGCCACTTCGTGCTCTTCGAGTTCCCAGAACTCCATTCCCGGGCCACATTTTGATGCTGATGCAGAGGCTGAGAATGGTGATGCTGATGCTGAGGCTGAGGCTGAGGCAGGCAGGCTGAGGCTGATGAGGCTGAGGCAGGCTGAGGCTGAGGCCGAGGCTGAAGGCAGGCTGAGGCTGAGGAGGCTGAGGCTGAGGCAGGCTGAGGCTGAGGGGAGGCTGAGGCTGAGGCTGATGCTGAGGCAGGCTGAGGCTGAGGCTGAGGCTGAAGGCAGACTGAGGCTGAGGCTGCAGGCTGAGGCAGACGCTGAGGCAGGCTGATGCTGAGGCAGGCTGAGGCTGAGGCTGAGGCTGAGGCGGATGCAGGCTGATGCTGAGGCAGGCTGAGGCACAGAGGCTGAGGCTGAAGGCAGACTGAGGCTGAGGCTGAAGCAGGCTGAGGCTGAGGCTGAGGCAGGCTGAGGCTGAGGCAGGCTGAGGCAGGCTGAGGCTGAGGCAGGCTGAGGCTGAGGCTGAGGCTGAGGCTGAGGCTGAGGCTGAGGCTGCAGGCTGAGGCTGAGGCTGAGGCAGGCTGAGGCTGAGGCTGAGGCAGGCTGAGACGCTGAGGCAGGCAGGGTGAGGCTGAGGCTGAGGCTGATGCAGGCTGAGGCTGAGGCAGGCTGAGGCTGAGGCCGAGGCTGAAGGCAGGCTGAGGCTGAGGCTGAAGCAGGCTGAGGCTGAGGCTGAGGCAGGCTGAGGCTGAGGCTGAAGCAGGCTGATACTGAGGCAGGCTGAGGCTGAGGCAGGCTGAGGCACAGAGGCTGAGGCTGAAGGCAGACTGAGGCTGAGGCTGAAGCAGGCTGAGGCTGAGGCTGAGGCAGGCTGAGGCTGAGGCAGGCTGAGGCTGAGGCTGAGGCAGGCTGAGGCTGAGGCTGTGACTGCGACTGCCGCTGCCACTGCGACTGTCATCGCGAATGCGACTGCGACTGCGAGAACAGCAGAACTCTACAACTGGATTCTCATCTGAATCTTAAGGGGAATGCTTCCATATATGCTTCTACACATCGCTGTTAGGTTGCTTTGCCGGGATGATTATGCTGATGTTGATGATGATGATAATAATGATGACGATGATGATGATGCTGATGATGATGATGATGATGATGCTGCTGCTGATGATGATGATGATGATGCTGATGATGATGGTGATGGTGATGGTGATGGTGATGGTGATGGTGATGGTGATGATGATGATGATGATGATGATGATGATGATGATGATGATGATTATGATGATGATGATGATGATGATGATGATGATTATGATGATGATGATGATGATGATGATGATGATGCTGATGATGCTGAGGGTGGTGGTGACCATGATGATGCTGAGGGTGGCTCCAAGACAGCACACGATGCCCAAACAAATCCGATGTTCAAGGGGGTCCTAGACCCCCCAACAAAGTGCTTCCAAGATTCCGAAGATGCACCCGAAGTGGCCCCGAATATGCCCCCAGCAGCCCCCAGGAGGCCCCCAGAAGGTTTCAACAGGCTCTCCAGAGGCGGCCCCTAGGCTTTCAAGAGCCTCCCAAGAAACGCCGCAACAAATCCGAAGAGACCTCCAAAATACGTCCTCCTTCCTCTCCTCCTCCTCCAGCCGTTAGCGGCGGCCGCAACGCTCTGACCTCACGCGCTGGGGGCGCGCACTCCGCGACGCGAGAATATTGGGACAGTTCTTTGGGGGGCCGCGGGAGCACCAGGAGGGGGCACGAGGGCGTCTGGAGAAGCCCCAGACGCTCAAGGATCAGGAGTGGAAACAACACGCAGACACAATTTATCGTCGATTCCGAGGAAAATATGCGAAAATATGGGAATTGGGCGGGAAGACAAAATCCCACAACATATGGGAAACTATTGGGAATCTTTTAATTCGTGTGTATTTATTTGTGTGTACCAGGGCCCCTTCAAAGGAGGGCACACGGCCCAAGAAGCGCCCGCTGCCAATTTGTGAAGGGCTGGGGGCTGCTGGAGCCAGAGCGCTCGGAGCGCTCGCGTGGTCCCGGTCTTGTGGCAGAAGCGCCGTGGCGGGCGCTTGCTGTCCATACCGCTTGGGCAAAGATCGGGGGCGGAAAAGAGGGGGGGGATGACTAGGGGGGGGTGGATATCATGACGTGGGCCATGATATTTCCTCAGATTTTATGGCGCCTCTTCTGATTTCATTACGTCCCTGGCCCCCCCGCTGGGCCGCGCACATGCCGCCGGTCATGATTTGCACCCCCCCCCTCTTGGACACCCCCCTCTTGGCCGCTCCCGAAAAGACATGCGATAACACGTTTTTTGCTACAGGTGCGGGCCAGACGTGCTTCACAGACAGAAGCACGCAGTACGACGATGTCCTTCTGCGTCCCCTCTGAGAGTGCGCCGATCCCAGCCAGGCGCCGATCGTGGGCCCACGATCGGTGCATATACCTTCCCGGCCACGCCGCGACTGCCGACCCTGGGCCTGGGATCGTCCTCCTCCTCCTCCTCCTCCTCCTCCTCCTCCTCCTCCTCCTCCTCCTCCTCCTCCTCCTCCTCCTCCTCCCCCTCCCCCTCCTCCTCCTCCTCCTCCTCCTCCTCTCCTCCTCCTCCTCCTCCTCCTCCTCCTCCTCCTCGTCGGCTCAGCCGTGCTCGGCGCGGGTGTGCAGCCCGTGCCCTCGTGACGCATCAGGTGCAGGCCGTGCTCGCGTGGCTGGGGCGCCCCGGCAGCGTGGCCCCGTTCGTCCGCAGGGAGAACGGCACCGAGGCGCCGGCGGGAGCCTGCCGTCGTGTGTTCTCTCCTCGTCGTCGTCGTCGTCGTCGTCGTCGTCGTCGTCGTCGTCGGCGGCGGCGGCGGCGGCGGCGGCGGCGTCGTCGTCGTCGTCGTCGTCGTCGTCGTCGTCGTCGTCGTCTGCCAGATCTGGGGGAACAAAAGGTGTCGTAAGCATGATAACTCGGAGGTCCGCGTGGATTTCTCGGATCCGCGCTGGACCCCCTTCCCTGGCGCGCGGAGCGCGCCGGGGGCGGCGCCGGAGGCGCCGCCAGGAGGTCTCAGCGCAGATCCGAGAAATCCGCGCGGACCTCCGAGTTTTTATGTTTATTGTTTATGTCATTGTTCGTTCCTCTAGTCGTCGTCGTCGACGTCGTCGTCCGCCAGATCTCCGACGATGTGATTTTTCTTGTGGATCCAATGCTTTCCCACGGATTGCCGGCCCTCTGAAGCCGTTTTGGGCCCCTTTACAAGAAGGATGGGATTTGGGGCGAAATTCCTACCCCAGGGACGAGGTCGGAACATCTGGGGCCGTGCACGGAAACGTTTGCATGGTCGGATGTCTGGGAGCGGGTCCTGAGGTTTTTCTCCGCCTTTGGCCTCCTGGGGCTCTCATGGGCCCGGGGACGGTCAGAAATGATGGGCCGATCTTCCACCACCACACCATCAGCAGGATGGGGGAGCAGGAAGGATGAGGAGGTCCTCCTTCTCATTCTCCTCCTCCTGCCTCTCCCTGCCTATTGGTATCGGTGGTGGACACTCGGCCCAGCAACGAAAACTCCTGAGGATGAAGAGCTGGTCCTGGCGGGGTCCCGGACCCGTGGCCCTCCGGACGCGCGCGATCCCTGCCTGCCACGGCGTCCCCCTCTTCGTCCCCCGCTCGGGCCGCGCTGCCCACCGCCTCTGGCCAGGCCCGTCCTGGGCCCATGGATCGGTGCGTGCGGTGCCTTGGCATCGCTCGGACGTGTGCATGTTTTTCTCGGCGAGGACCTTCGAGGAGCATCCTCGACCATTTGGCGAAACAACCACCCACGAAACCGAAAAGAACACAGGAAATGGACGTCCGAGTGATTGCCAGGTGCTGCCTGGCCGGAGCAGGGGGCGGGGGCGCGTGCACCGCAGGGCTCCCCCTGGGCCCAGGATGGGCCTGGCCAGGGGCAGTGGGTACGCCCCCCCTCCCCCTGTCCGCCCCCCCCCCCCCCTGCCCTCGTCCTCGCAGCCCCGCCTCTCCCTCCCCCACGCCTCCCGCCCCTCCTCCTCGCTCTCCTCCTCCCCTCGTCCTCCTTGGGTGCGTCCTGCTGATTGTTCTGCTGCTGCTTCTCCCTGGTTTCCTCCTGCTGCTGCTTTCCTCCTGCTCCTCTCTCGCAGCTGCTTGTGTGCGTGCGTGGTCAAATCTCAGTCCAGTGGACTTGCAGTGGCGGTTCGTGACAGGGAGGCTTCAGGTACTGTGGCAGGAGGCCATAGACGTGCCGCAGAGAATCATGTTTATCACCATCGATGGTGATCACAAGGCTGCAGCCACACTGGCGAAGGGCTATTCCGAGGACGATGCTCGTTGGCCTTGCATCCCTGCATTCCTGGATTCGCCACGGCCTTACATGCTTCGTGTATCTGTACGTCGCTGGATCTGAAGATCGGTCGCTGTTCATTGAAACGCTGTTCGACCGCTTGCTGTGCGATCACCGAGAGTAAGAAACAGTCTGTGACAGTCTTGTCCCTATTGACGATTGATGATCCTGGGGGAAGAGGGTCAAGGGCAGAGTAACGGTATGACATGCCTTTCATTTTTTCTGACCAGGCACCTTCGAGAAAACTCAACCGACTGCTTTTTGCATCGCGCGTCAGCCATTTCAACATCTGCCCAAGTCGCCCCGGACCCGCGTGGAACCCAAGAGGCGCCAAGCGGCGCTGGCCTTTGGCCAGCGGGGCCAGGCAGTTCGCGGGAACGGTCCGGCGCGCGAGTGCCCGCCCAGCCTTGCCGGCGACCCCCGAAGGTCTGATCGGGCAGAGCCCACTGGGCCGACCGACACCCTGAGTTCGTTATACGAAGGCTTTGCGTGACCGTTGCGTTTCCTCCGTGCATGCGCTTCTTCTAGCCCCCACGGGGCCCCGGTGGTTTCTTCTGCCCCTGCCGCGCTTGACGGGTATATAAGCCTTTTCGAGGCCTGCCGTGGCCGTCGACCGGGCACCCGCGCCCCAGGCGGCCGCCGCGAACGCTCGGGGCCCACCTTTCGGTGGGGGTGGCGGGAGGAGTCTCGAGTCCTCCGACGGACTCGCAGAACACGCCCCCGAGGCCAGCGCGGCCGCCGGCCCGGAGGCGAGACCTCCACCAGCCTTGGCACCAGAGGGCCCTGAAGGGGGCGGGGCACCACTGCCTTGCAACGAAAACGGCAGCGTTTCTGTCATACTACAGTTCCTTGGTCTGGTCAGAAGATTCGGATGCAGCTCCTGGAAGGTCAAATTCTGATGACTTTGCCCTGGTCCAAAATCCGGCTTAGTCCTGCTTACTCCTGTTTAATCCCGCTTGATCCGGCGCAATCCCGTTTTACCTGCTTTAATCCCGCTCAATCCGCGGCCTCATCCGGCGCCGCAGCCCGCCAATGGGGCTTACCTCTCCTTACTTCTTCCGGCAGTAGCTGCCTCCTTGCATCTTCCGCTTCTTCCCAGGACCTCCCAGCAGCTGCCTCCCAAGACAGGGGGGCAGGCTGGGGACGGGTCGGGGCTCCGCCGCGGGGCACCCTGCCCGATACCGCAGCCGCCGCGGCCCCCGCGAGAGCCAGCCGCGCGCCGCCGACCCCGCGACGCCCTCCGACGCCCGTGCTCCCCCCCGCCGCCGCCGCCGCGCCGTCCTCGTCGGCGTCGCTGTTCGGCGCCGTCTGCCGCCGTCGCCCTCGCCGACGCCGCCGCCGCCGCCGCGCGGCGACGCCGCCCCCGAGCCCGGCCCCCTCGGGGAGCCGAGGGAGGCGGCACCGCACGGCCCGTGACCGCTCGGAGGCCCGCGCGGAGCTTCTGGACCTTCGCGGGGATCTTGGCATCGCTCGGACGTGTGCAGTTTTCCTTCGGCGAGGACCATCGAGGAGCAGCCTTGGTCATTTGGCGAAAAAGCCACGCACGAAACAGAAAAAAACAGAGGGAATGGACGTTCGAGCGATGGCCAGGGATATCTCCTTGGTGGCGCCTCCCGCGCGCCAGGGATCGGAGGTGGACAGACCTCCCACCCTGACACGTCGATTGGCGAGTTGGCCGTTTTCGGTTCGCGTGAGGGCGCCGCGGCCCTCATTTTTGCGGGTCCAGGTCCGTCGGTTTCGGTCCCGGGCCGCTTTCACTAAGGGGGGGTTTACGAAAAGGGAGGTTTGTCCACCGCCGAAGGGAGCCAGGGGCAGCGGCGAGGGGGGGGATAGGCGTGGGGGGGGGGGGATGCATCGACCCCAGTCGCCCATGGATCGCCGACGGGGGCCCGACAGCCCCATTCCCGCTCACGAGCGCGCGGATCCGCGATCGGGGGCCGACCGCCGATCTATCGGGCACGTGTCCCCCGATTCCAGGTCAGGGTGTCCCCCCCCTGTGCCAATCCGCCTCTGTCCTTGCCCCTCACCAGCGCCGAGTCCAGAAGCCCGCGCGGACCTCCGAACGTCGTTCGACGCTCGCGCAATTCTCCCTGTCTCCGGAGGCGGGGAGGGGCGCGGCGGAGGAATGAGGAGGAGGCGGCGGAGGAGGAGGGACGTGGATGGCGAGGAGGAAAGGGGTGGGAGGACCAGGCAGGAGGAGGAGGAGGAGGAGGACCAGAGCACACCAAGATGCGTGGGCGATGCTGCAGCACACCCTCCCGTCCCAAGTCCCCTTTCGCATACGCCCTTGCGTGTCCGCCTTCTCACGGCAAGAAGCGTCCCCCTTGGAAGGCCAACACAGTTGGGCCCGCTATTTTCACGATGGCCCCACATTGAACAGGCGCGCTCCTCATGCGCCCTTGAATGTCCGCCTTCTCACAGCAAGAAGCGTCCCCCTTGAAAGACCAACACGGTTGGGCCCGCTGTTTTCACGATGGCCCCACACTGAACAGGCGCCGCCCTGCATCTTACAGGCGCGTCGTCAGGAACGCGAGCACATATTGATACCGTTGAACGAGGTGTCCAGCGATAGCCACCTTTCGAAGAAGGACCGCCCCCCATCCGTGTAACGGTTGCACAAGTTTACTCCTGTGGTCATTTGTTTCGGGGAAGTCTCCAGCGACAGCCCCATTTTGAGAAAGGGCCGCCATGGATTCGTGCATCGCTATAGGCTATGTGCGTTGAAGCTCTGGGGCCTTGAACTGAACGCAAGATCATGCGAGAGCTCCATGTTGACAAAGGACAGCCATCCACCCTGATGACGCTGCATGAACAACAAACGGATGCGGCGCGAAGGCGAGAGCCTCATGTTGAACAGGAACCGCCTTCCATCCGTGAAGCTACAGCCTCGGACAGATTTTCTCATGCCGCCGCCACACGCCCATGCCGACACACAGCTCGTTGGGCATGGCCACGCCAATGCCGCCCGCCATGTTGTAGCGCAGTCGTGTTGAGTGTGGTCCGCAACAGACATTCATGGCACCGTGCCGTCACTTCGGTCTGTACACGCCCGCCACGACGCGTGTTAATTGAACATTCGGTGTCGAAGAGAACGTGACACATCCCACTCGTTTCGCTCCGCGAGCCTCGTGAGGGCTTCTTGGAGCTGGCCAAACCAAGTCAGTTGTGAGGACGTCTCAGGCGAAGCGGGGCCCAAACCGGGCCAAACCAGGGCGGCACCAGGCAGAGCTTGCTGGCGCCTCGGGCGAAACTGGGCCCAAAGAGGACGTGTCAGACGAAGTCGGGCCCAAGCCAGGCCAAACCAGGCGCCAGACCAGGCGACGATTGAGGATGCCTCGGGCGGGGCGCGCGGCCAAGCGAGGCCAAGCGAGGCCGAACCAGGGGCCAAGCCAGGCAGACCTTGAGGACGAGGAGGAGGGGAGGAGGAGGAGGAGGAGGAGGAGGAGGAGGAGGAGGAGCAGAAGGCTCCCTCCGTTCTCTTGGAAGGAGTGGCTCACCCCAGGGCACGCCCCGCCGCCCCCGCAGGCGGAGGCGAGCTTAGAACTTTCCGGGCTTGGCCCTTTGGGCCGCGCGCCAGCTGCTGCGGACGGGGCTTGGCTCAGAAGGCCTCACTTTGTCGTTCGGATGTTGTCGGCCTCCGCGCGACATCCGTTCGCAAGCGCGGGGCGGGAGAATGCTCTCTCCTGTTCTCTCCCCCTTCGCGCGCCTCTGGGTCTCGGCGGCTTCTCGCCTCGCCCCCAGGGAAGCTTGGGCGGAGGAAGGCCCCCAAGAGGGGGTGGCCCAGGGGAGCTGGGGCTTCGGGGCTCTGGTGTGGCATTCGGATACATATTTCCGAGACTGCAGTGCAAAGTGTTCAAAGCGGAATGTGCGCGGGGCTCAGGCGACAGCAGCATTAAAAAAACGCCCCCCCATCCATAAAGTTGCTGCAAAGTTTCGGACGGCTGCGCGCGGCGCTAGGGCCATAGCCACATTTCGAAAAAGGAACCGCTTTTGAATTCGTAAAGCTAGTGCGAACTTTTCAGACGAATATGCGCGGGCGTGAAGGCGATATCAGCTTTTGACAATGACCTGAACTCCTTCCGCGAAACTTTTGCGAACTTGTTAAGACAATGTGCGCGTCGCTAAAGTGAGAGCTAGCCCACCCCCCCTCCGTCCGCGAAGCTTCTGCAAATCTCAAGCTTCGGGATCATACGTGGAGAGGACGTCTCAGGCGGAACGCCCCGTCCGCCCTACCGACACGCCGGGGGAAGCGACGGGGATGAGTTCGTTTATGAAGAAGCGGGATGGAGGCGGAGGGCGAGGAGAAGGAGGAGGAGGAGGAGGCCGACGAGGACCAGGAGGAGGAGAAGGAGTTTATTATTGTGCCGCTTTCTCTCTTCCTCCAGAGGTGGCGGAGCTGGTGCGCACGGCGGTGAAGATATCCACGCTCCGGCGGTACGCCGCCTCGCCCGGGGGGGCGCAGTTGCAGGACTTGGCCGCCAGCTGGGAGGACCTCGTCGCGTCGGGGCCGGGCGCCCCCCGTCTTCGGGGGGGCACCGCTGGGGGGTGCCACCGCCTCCATGTGGACATTGAGGATCGAGGAGGAGATACGGTCAGGAATGCTTGCAGAGCGCGTGGCGCCGCCCGTTGTGGCCCACCACGCTTCGGCGTGGCACGGTAACCACGTCCCAGCCACCAAGCGTCAACGTCCCGAGCATTCCCCAGCCTCGCGCCCCGCGGAGCGAAGCGACGCGCTTTCCGCTTGCAGGGCGTAGCGGTCGCCAGGGCCGTCGCCGCGACACGCTGAGCAAAAGTTCCCGACCGCAGGAGTCATCAGGATCTTGACGTTTTGGGGTGTCCCTGGGAGTTCTGGGAGGGCTCTGGAGGGTCTGGGGTGCCGGTTTCCCGGAGGAGGCGGCGATACCCTTGGTGGTGGACAACCCTCGGCATTGCCCGGCATGGGGAGGGAGCGGGAGGTGCGGGGGAAGGTATAGCCGACTTCGCGGGAGCTCGGGTTTGCCGCTGTTTACAACGCTCGGGCACGAGTTTTGACGGTCCGGTTTTCGTGCGGTGTCTGCAGCGGGGTGTCGCGTCAATATCAGACGATTAAGTCCAGCCATTTTTACGACGTCCCCGTCAGCGAGTTCGAGTTCCCCGAATTTACATCGTACGTCACCTCAAGAAGGGATCGAGGGAGGGAGCGAGGGAGTGAGCGAGGTCGGGAGGAGGCGGGGGAGGAGGAGAGAGGATCCCGTATTTGGGTATGGCGGGGGCTTTGCACGAGGTGTGGTCCGGGGGGGACGAGGGGCGACGAAGGCGGTGGGAGGCGGGGGGGGAGGAGGAGGAGGAAGGGAAGAGGAGGAGGAGGAGGAGGAGGAGGAGGAGGAGGAGGAGGAGGAGGAGGAGGAGGAGGAGGCGGAGGTGGAGGAGCAGGAGGAGGAGGAGGAAGAGGAGGAGGAGGAGGAGCGAGGCGAGGGAGAAACAAGAGCACCAATGTACGCGTTCCGAGGTCCGCGTGGATCTCTCGAATCTGCGCTGCACCACCCCCCCCATGACGGCGCACCCGGCGCCGCCCGCTGAAGGACGCCCCGACTCGGGGCGACGGCATCTATACGCATCCGCTGCCCAGGCCTGGACCGCCCTGGGCCAAGGGGCGGTGCGCACGCCCTCCCGACTTGGCCAGGGATGGGTACTAACCCCGCTCTGGAGCCCGGACTTCGGGCAGTGGGCACGGTCGGGCCGAGGTTTATCGGGGGCGAAAAAGAGGGGGGTGATGACTAGGGGGGTGGTGGATATCATGGCGGGGGCCATGATATTTCCCCAGAGTTCAGGGCGCCTCTTCTTATTTCATTACGTTCCCGCCCCCCCCGCTGGGCCGCGCACATGCCTCCGGTCATGATTTGCACCCCCCCCTCTTGGACACCCCCCTCTTGGCCGCTCCCGAGTATAAGATCGAGGTCGGTTCGGGGAGGGTACCATCACGTCCTTTTCGTCTGTTGGACGTTCCCGTGCAGCCTTGCGGGGAGCGCCCTCGAATGTTCTTCAGCTTGGCCGGCGGAGGGTTTCGTGCTCTTGAGGGAGTCGACTACACCTAAGCGTGACCCTTCGCCGGAGTGACCTTTGGTGCGGGCCCATTTTGGCCCCCCGATCGCCGAACGCGCTGCGATAGTAGCGTCCGGCGCGCTCGTGTTTGGTCCCCGCGCGGCCCCCAAGCAAAAACCCGCGCACAGAAGGCCTCTCTTACCCAGGGCCACTCTTGCGTGCAGTCGAGGGAGGTTCTTCTGTTTCAGGTCCGGCCACACGTGGAGACGCCGCCGCCCTGCGATCGGCGTCACCCAAACGTACTTACTACTGTATGTGCGTCACCCCCCCAGGGGCGACGCGTGCACCGAGAAATCTTAGAGTGTATGCGTCGTGGCGGGTGTTTTCTGGCCACACCGCTCGGGAAACGATGTGCTACAAGATTGGTATACGATGTGTCCGGGTCGGACGCGCGCCTCCAAGGAGGACTTACTGTCAAAAACCCTAATAAGGACGCGCGACTTTGCTCAGGGTACCCTTGCGTCCTTGCTCTTCCTTGCTCTTGCGTCTCCGTCCTTCCTTGGTTTCCTCTTGGGGTGTTCGCCCTCCGCCGCCCCAGAAATCCCAACTCCGGCTTCCAAGGGTCTTGCGTCCTCACCGCGCGCCCTTTTTAGCGTTCTTGATCGTCGTATCAGCCTGTTCCTGTGCGTCCCACACGACTGCACAGCGCGATGTCGCGGCGGCGATCCTCGAGGGTCACACGGTTTTCTGGCAAGTTCTAGGCCGGGATTTTCGGGGCAGCCGGGGGATTTTGAGGGCGGGTTTTCGCGGGATGTTAGGCCGGGGGATTTTCGAGATGGACTTTCGAGGCCTCCGGCCCCTGGGAGGCCCCGGGGCGAGGCCCCCCGGCCACGGCGGCCTGCGGCGGCCCGCCCTCGGAGCCCTCCGAGAAGCCCCGCGCCTCGCCAGGAGCGGCGGCGGCAGCTGTCCACGGTGGAGGCCGTCGCCCCGCTCGTGCTGGGCATGGGCGCCTCGGGGGGGGGGGGGGGCGCCGCCGGCCGGCCGCAACGGCCACTGGCCGGGGCGAGCCTGGGCCCAGGAGGGGCGCACGAGCGCCGAGGGTCGTCATCCAGAGTCTCCAGAGCCTCCTCCTTCTCCTCCCCCCCCCTCCTCTTCCTCCTCCTCCTCCTCCTCCACCTCCTCCTCCTCCTCCTCCTCCTCTTCCTCCTTCTCCTCCTCCTGCTCCTCCTCCTCCTACCTCCTCCTCCTCCTCGTCCTCCTCCTCCTCCTCCTCCTCCTCCTCCTCCTCCTCCTCCTCCTCCTCTGGCCTCGTGGGCGCCTTTGTGCGGCTCCCTGGGAGGCCCCGGTCACCACCGCCGGATGCGCCCCGAAATGCGGGTCAGAAGGCTCCCCAGGAGTGGTCCGCGGAGGAGCGGTGTGGGTGCCTCTCGGTGTCCCCAACCGGTGGCATGACGGGGTAATCAGGGGCACATTCTCTCGGTGCTTGTCCAGCTCAGACCCCCATTTGCCACCAGACCGTCTCCAAGGCTCAGGGGGGTGCACGGATGCCCAGTCGCCCATTCATCGCCGATAGGGGCCCGAGATCCCACCAAGTCCAGGAACATGGGGTTTCGATATCGCCGGCCTATCGCCGATCTATCGGCAGTTTCATCGCTGATTCAAGCTCGTTGCTTCCCCTCCTGGGCTGCTCTGAGCCTGTCCCCCCCTGTCGTTCCCCTTCGGTACAGCTGGCGCGAGGGGTGTGCACCGCCCTACCTTTGCACGGGTGCCCTTCTGTTCCTCGTTGGGGTTCTCCACGCTGGCGTGCTCCTCGTTTCGCACATCTCCATCAGGCCTTGAGCCTTCGGCGAAGGGGCCCTGTGCTCTTGGTCTTGCTTTGTGTCGTGGCCGCGGTGCGACGGCATTGCCCCCCCCTGGCCAAGCCAGGGAGGCGTACACTTTATTCATTTCTAATTGTTCGAGAGTGTTTTCATTGTGGGGGGGCCAGGATCCTTTCATTTCTGATTGTTCTATCCTGGGCCTCTTCTGGCCACTAGGGGGCCAGGAACAATTAGAAACGAGTACACTTAGAAATGAGCACGATTAGAAATGAACGACGTGTATGCACCGATCGTGGGCCCAGGATCGGCTCCCACCGCAGCAGGAAAGGAAGGCACAGGCATGACCTTCGGACGCAATTCCTGGAAGGCCAGGTTTAAGTCGGGCCTGTCCCTCGCGAGGAGGATGATTCAAACATAGTCAACAAATGTAGCCTGGGGACGATTCGTTGCGTATTTGTTTGACAATTTGGTGGTATTGTTTTTTTTTCGTCCAAACTCCCCCTGTAGGAGGACAGGCCCGACTTAAGGCCAGGTTCTGACCTTGCCCTGGTCCGAGATCCGGGCCAGTCCCGCTTTGAATCTGGCTTGATCCCACCGAATCCCGCCAAACCCGCTGCCTAATCCAGCGCAGCAGCCCCCCCCCAATGAGGCTAAAGCATCCCTCGTCCTTCCGACGAAGACCGCCCGTAGCCATTTTGGCTCAAGTTCGAAACCTTGCCGCGAGGCTTCGAGCTTGTCCGCAGCCGTGCGGCAGGCTTGAGAGGCTTTCGGCGTGTCTTAACCTTCCAGGGTGCCCTTCAGACGGCCTGCCCGGGCCAAGGGTTTACCCTTTCCGTGAACGCCTCTGCGGAGGCAGACTACGAGCCCGCGAGGGCGCTCCGCATTCAGTGCCCAGGCGCATGGCACCATCCAATGGCGGGGGCGACGCTGGAGAAGTACTCCATGGACCCCGTCAACCGACATGGTCGTGTAACAATTGCGGACGGAACGCGAACTGGGCGTGTCGGACTATATGCAGGTGTGGCGTGTCTGCTCCTGCTAGCATCCACCGCCGTGCTAAAGAACGGGCTGCTGCTGCTGCACCGAATGGTCACCTGGGTCAAGGGCCTCCTCGCCGTCCTCGGGGCCCGCAGGGAGGTGATCCCATGCAGCGGCAGCTCGACGCGATGCAAAAGAGGATCGACAAGCTGCTGGCATCTTCGGGGCAACGGGGACCGCCAGATGCAGTTCCGTCACCTGACAAAGATAAGGATCCCGATCAAGATAAAGAGAGCAAAGAGGCTGATCAACTTCGAGAGCAGATCAAGCAGTTGGAGATTACCGTGGCCAATTGCAAAAAGCTGCCTGGTGAAGCTGGTAAAGATGCTGTGGAGGCCCTGCAACGCAGTCTTGGTGATGCAAGGAAAGCGTTGGCAGAGACGAAACCACAACTCACGCGTCACACCACGGTCGGGCACAGGCTTCAGAGGGTTTCTGCGAAGAAAGCCCAGCTGGAGCAAGTGGTGCAGGATCAGCTCGAGGTTATCCGCAGAGCACAAGAGAAGATCGACTCGTCCAAGGCGCAGATCTCGTCTGCTGAGGAGGAGATTCGTGTACTGCATCAAGAGCTTCAAGATACTATGCCAAACCCTGTGGCGGCGACTTTCGAGCTGGACACAGAGTTTTTGGACAACCATCCAAGTAAAGACTCCATCGTTGCTTTCATGGACTCGCAGGCCTTCAAGGACTTTGCACGTGTCCTCACAGAGAGCAACAACCACAAGCAGAAGATAGCTACAGCAGTCGCCAAGTCCCCTTTCGAGAAGGGCGCCACTGGCTCTGGCGCTGGGTTCCCTACTGGCGCTGAGGCTACAGGCAACAGCAACAATGAGCCCGATGACATCGAGCTCGACTTCGAGATGGCAGATGAGATACTCGCCTCCAGCAACCTGGACCGTGAGGCCTTCTGTGCTAAGTTTAGACCTGTGCTCCGCAAGATTGGCAAGCAGAAGCGGCCAGGGTAGTCTCATGCCCCGCTGCTGTGGCTTGCCTCTGTCTAAATTCGGAGTGCCTGCACCTCCTCCACCTCCCCCCGCTTCTTCTCCCGACTCGACCTCCGAGCTGCTCTTGAGTCGGGGCTTCTGCATTGAAGCGTATAACGGCAACTCGTGGCCTACTCTACGTGAGCGTCTGTGTCACACAGAGTCGAGTATCCTGTTGGCGCAGGAGGTCGGGTTCGTGCAGGAGCGAGAGGGTGAAAAGGCGGCGGCGGTGGGGGCCCTCGGTTGGAAAATGCTTTCCTCCCCATCCCTCCCTGGCGAAGGTGGTCAGACGAGGGCGGGGGTGGCTGTGTTCGTTCGAAAGCATTTGGGTCTGAGGTGGCCCCAGGATGGCTCGGGCACGCTCTGGCCAGGACGATTGATCCATGTTGTTGTTGACATACCCTCTTGGCCGCCTCTCCAGGTGGTCTGCGGATATCTTAAGAGTGGAACTGGTTTGTGCCAGATGAACGTGTCGCTTCTTCGCCTGGTGGGGGGAGAGGCTTGAACGCGAACACATGTTCGTTGTCGGTTGTGATTGGAACCTTGACCCTAGCTTGGTCGAGGCGTCGGGGGTGGTTCGTAGGACTGGAGGTGCCTTGATGGTACCAGATCAAAAGACCTGCCTCTCCCCCACCAGCTTGTCCAATATTGATTATTTTCTTGCCAGCACTTGCTTCGCTAGAGCTTGCAAGAGCATCGAGGCTGACGTGTCATGGACACACAGACCTCGCCGACCCGTGTGCATTTCCTTGAAGGCTGATGCGGTCAAGTGTTATCAGCTCATGTACCGAACCCACCAAAAGTTACCCACTAGTTTACCCATAGGACCGTCACCTCAGCCTCAGGACTGGAGAATTCCTCGAGCAGTTGCCGAGGCAGCAGCTGATGCAGCCTTGTCCCAGCCAGGTGGATATGCGTGGGAGCTGCTCACGGAGGCGTGGCGCCATTTCGCTAACATGTTCGAGCTCGAGCTCGAGGCCTTCACTGGGGTTGAGGTCAAACAAAAGGGGTTCAAAGGGGGTTTCCTGAAACCAAGATGGGCCCAGATTTTCGCCAAGCCAAGTTGTGCGGATGAGAGACAGCAGCACCACGGATGGATCTGGCTTGCGCAACAGCTTTCCGAGACGATTGGGGCCTCTGTGAGGCTCCAGAAGCTCCATGATGGCCCCGTTTTTCAGGACCATGCCCAAATCGATCAACGAACTAGTGATGTGGAGCTCCAGGTCCAGCAGCTGCTCACCACACCCTGCCCAGGTGAAGGGCGCAGTATTCGTTTAGACGCTGCTCTAGTGCAGGCACGAGCCTTGGCACGCAGGTTTCCTTCGACAGGTGAGCTGTCGGACTGGAGCGACGAGTGCCAGGAGTTTCTCGCTTCGTGGGATGACGATCTCGCGGCGGCCAAGCAGGCCATCGACAAACAAAAGAGAGATAGTTGGGATGAGTGGCAGGAGAAGGCGTTACACGGGGGGGGCGAGGGCTATGCATCGATTGACCAAGTTAAAAGCGAAGTGGCCCCCGACGGTCGTTCAGACCCACCCAGGATTCTTCTCCAATGCTCCGCAGGCTCTCTTGAGACAGCAAGGCGATGAGCTTGCTGGTTTCTGGCGCGCGTCTCGCGAACCTCCTGAGGTTTGCGTGCCCGACAGAGAGCACCTGCCCCGACCCTCGGCGATCGAGCTTCGAAAAGCCTCGTCGAGTTTCTCTCACTTCACCTCCCAGAGCCTCGACGGTATACACCCTCGTCAGTTCAGTCTGGTTTCGGATGAAGCTCTGGAAACGTTTGCGGCGATAGTGCAAGCTACGGGATGTTTGGGTTTGTTCCCCAAACAGTTGTTCTGGCTTTTGTTTCCCCTCCTTGAAAAACCCAAGGGGGGGCTTCGACCCATTTTGTTGTGCGCGGGGCCCGTTCGAGTCTGGGAAAAGGTTACTGCTACCTTTCGTGACCGACTTTAATTTGAGCTACCCTAGGAAATACTGGGCTTTCGGCCCAGGTCGCAGTGCTGAAGATGCTGTATGGCATCAGGCGGTCAAGGCCGAGGTTGCTCACCAGAATGATAAGGTCACGGGGGGGTTTATTTGGGATGCCACCAAATTCTATGAATCCTTCGACCTCTCCCTCCTCCGACAAAGGGCCCTGGAGTGTGGCATGCATAGCGCGATTGTGAAAACGACGTATAACTACTGGCGGGGCCCACGGCTGTTGCGCATCGGGGCCCAGTATGGCCTCGTTCTTCTTTTTGGCTCGTCAGGATTACCAGCTGGTGACATTTTTAATGACATCTTCGTGCGTGTGTACAGTATAGGTGCCTTCGACCGCTTTATCGTCGAGCATCCCGAAGTCTGGCTTTCGTCTTACGTGGGCGACAACAGCGTGACGAGGGACGGCACTGAGCAGCAGGTGCTATCACGGGTTTCAAAGGCTGCTGCGGCCCTGCTGATCATTTTTCGTGAAGAGCTTAGAGTGGACGTCCACCCTGACAAGATTTGCACGTTCGCGAGTAATCAAGGTTTGGCCAACAAACTTGCTCGACTGTTGGGAAGGATGGCGGGCCAAGTCAGCACGGGAATCGTTTCGTTAGGATCGGACCTTGCCCCAGGTAGGCGTAGAGGTGCGAGGCGAGCCACGTGGAAGCGCAAGCAACGCTTCCAAGACATGCGTAGACGCCACCGTGTGCTCCAGCGTTGCACGAGAGCCCTCCCCCGCCAGCGAGGAAGGATGGGAAACATCTACACTGCTGGAGTGTTGCCAGCGGCCACGTTTGGATCGGCGATTGTGGGGGTTAGCAACGGAGAGCTCAGGGAAGGTCAACGTGTGCTTCTGAGTTACAAACCCCCTCGGCACAAAGGATGCTCTCTGAGAGCTAAGCTGGCCATTCTTGGAGACCCCATGTGGGGACCTGCTGTTGCCCCTGTGCTCCAGTGGGCTGCTGTTGTTTGGACGGCTATCACTAGCCCTGAGTCTTCCTTTCACACTGTGAAAGACCTGTGCGGTTTCTGGCGCGATGTCCCTTTCGATGATAGCACCACGTGGAATAACTCACGTGGGCCCATTCAGAGGATGCACCTTAGCCTGCACAGGATTGGATGGACTTCCACCTCGGCTTTGACGTTTCGAGATGACTATAATCGTGAAATTTCTTTGGCCTACACCTCTCCCTCCATGCTTTCGTTTTTGTTGGACTTGGCTACTCAGAGATCCCACGAGAGAGCGTTAGCCGGGAGCACTGAGGGATTCCAAGGGACGCGTGTCTGTGTTGAACCCTTGAAAAAGTTGTTGGGCCCTAGTGGGAAAGGCCTCTCTCAGCGAGAAAAATATCTGGCACTCGCGGTTTTCTGCCAAGGAGTTTGGACGCGAGCAAGGGCTCGCGCGTGTGGTTATAGCACTGCAGGAGACTGCCCTCTTTGCGGCCTTCCCGATAGTGTTCGGCATCGAGCATGGAGATGCCTTCACCCTGATGCTAGCAAGGCACGAGCTGAAGCGCTAGGCGACGAGCTTCCCGCCTGGTACGCTGAGGCTTTGGACGGTGAAGATAGGAAGTTTTTCGATGAAATGAAATGGGAGCACCCCGACAGTACCTGGCCCCCCCCCCCCTCGACGAACCCGAACCCCACCCTCTTCGACGGGGAAGGTAAGGAGGTTCCTTGGGATTCGATTGACCTTCGGGGGCTCGATGTCTGTGTTGATGGCTCGGCGTTTCGACGCCCGATTCGTGAACTTTCGAGGGCCGCCTATTCGTGGGTCTTCCTGGAGCCCGAGAATGATAAGAGAGTTGCAACTGCCCAAGGTACTGTTCTTGACACACTCCCCCAGACCTCCCAAGCTGCTGAACAGCAGGCGATGGCCCTCCTCCCCATGTTCCAGGACTACGGGGGGGACAGGTACGGGGATAGCATGACGGTAATCAAGATGTGCACGTCGCCCGCGGTCAACCAGTGCTCGAGGAAGCACCGTTATGCTGGCCTAAGACGTGGATCGCTTTTGCACGAGCGAGCTGGACACCAGCCGCAGTTTCATCACACTCCAGCACATCGCGCGCTGGCCAAGATTGACGAGCTACCCGCGGGGGAGAAGAGAATCGCGCTGGGTAATTGGTAAGCAGATGCCCAGGCCAAGAGAGCTCTCCTCGACCATCCCCAACCCTCCTCAGCTGAAGAAAAAGAGGTTGAGTGCAGGCTTAGTCAGTTAAAGACAATTGCCCGAGTTATGGGTAAAGTCTTATCAGTTTTCCCTGTAGAGAAGTTTGACCGTCTTACGAGTTCAGGTCCGAGGGCCAATTTTTTAAAATCTGGAGGTTGGCACGCGTGGCAAGAGTTAGGTAATGATCGTGCACGATGCCTCAGATGTTTAACCCTCGCTAGAGACCAGGACTCCAGACCCATGATAGGCTGTAAAGGCATGAGTAGGACCTTGAAGCGAACACTCGACATGTCTCTCGGCCACACCCTCGCACATTGCATGGTTGTTCGAGGAACGGAGCAGAAGGTTTTGTTTTTCTGTACGGCTTGCGGGGCCTATTCCACCCGCAGATGCAGACTCTTAGGACGAGAGTGCCAGCAGCGAAAGCTGGCTGGAGGTGCCACGAGTCTACGACGCATCTACGACGGTCTTTTTCCTCAAGCCAATGTGCAGGCTGAGGTTTCGACGACTTCTCGGAGAGGAGTTGCTAATTTATGTTACGCTGCCGCGTTGCCACCGCCTGAGGAGGTCACGCTGCACCAGCCTGCGATGACAGGCCTCATCCAGACGGACGGGATGCGTGCGATCAGCCAGCGTGTGCTGGCCAGAGAGGAAGCTGCTAGGGCAGCTGCCTCCTCAAGCACGTAGGTTTAAACAATCATGGTTCGGCCCCACGGGGACAAAAAAAAAAAAAAAAAAAAAATCCGACGAAGACCTCCCAGCAGTTGCCTCCTAAGAAGATCGGCGGCGAGCGAGGGCGGGCCTTCTCGGAAGGCTCGGAAGTCCCCCGGCCTTCTGAGAAGTTTTCGAAGCCTTCACCGCAGACACGACAAACTTCTCAGAAGGCGCGAGGGGTTTCTGAGAAGGCCCGCCGCCTTCTGAGAAGACCTTCTCCTTCCCATTTCCCCCCCTCGCTCGCCGCCAAGAAAACACGGCGTAAACATCTCCCCCCCGGGAGGCGTGCACGCTGATCTTGGGCCCCGGATTTTCCCAACCAGGGGGCCGGCGGGAGCGGTTATCGGACGTCCTCCCAGAGCGAGGTGTGGAGTGCCTTCGGAGGGACTTCGTGCACGTCATCACGCGCCGTGGCTACATCATGCCGCAGGAGTGCTGCGGCCTGCCGCCATGAAGCAAGCAATATCGAGACGGAGGAGGAGGAGGAGGAGGAGGAGGAGGAGGAGGAGGAGGAGGAGGAGGAGGAGGAGGAGAAGAGGGGGAGACGAGGGAGATGGAGAGGGCGAAGGGGAGGGATGATGATGATGATGATCATGATGATGATGAATGATGATGATGATGATGATGGATGGAGGAGGAGGAGGAGGAGGAGGAGGAAGAGGAGGAGAAGGAGGAGGAGGAGGGAGGATGACGGAGGAATGAGGAGGGAGGAGGGAAGAGGGAGGATGGAGAGGCGAGAAGGATGATGACGATGCTGATGATGATGCTGCTGATGATGATGATGCTGATGATGGTGCTGATGGTGATGTTGATAATGATGTTGATGATGATGATGCTGCTGCTGATGATGGTGATGATGACGATGCTGATGCTGATGCTGATGTTGCTGATACTGATGATGACGATGCTGCTGATGATGATAATGATGATGCTGATGCTGATGCTGATGCTGCTGCTGCTGCTGCTGCTGCTGCTGATGATGATGATGATGATGATGATGAGGATGAGGACGAGGATGGTGATGGTGATGGTGATGGTGATGGTGATGATGATGATGCTGATGATGATGATGATGATGATGATGATGATGATGATGATGATGATGATGATGCCGATGCCGATGCTGATGCTCATGCTGATGATGATGCTGATGCTTATGAGGAGGAGGAGGAGGAGGAGGAGGAGGAGGAGAGGAGGCTGAGGAGGAGAGGAGGAGGAGGAGGAGGCGGAGGTGGAGGAGCAGAGGAGGAGAGGAGGAGGAGGAGGAGGAGGAGGAGGAGGAGGAGGGATGAGAGGGAGGGAGGGAGGAGGAAGGAGAGGGAGAGGGAGAGGGAGAGGGAGAGCGAGGAGGAGGAGGAGGAGGACGAGAAAGAGGAGGAGGAGGATGAGGAGGAAGAGGATGAGGAAGAGGAGGAGGAGGAGGAGGAGGAGGGGGAAGAGGAGAAGGAGGAGGAGGAGGAGGAGCGAGCGAGCGAGCGAGCCTCAAGTCTGCAGGTGAGCCACTAGCAGACAGAGCAAATATGGAGCCTGGAACGGCGCCCCAACGGCCTGCACAGCCACCGCGGACGTACCGCACACGTGCTGCCGACCGAAGGGGAAGGGCCCGACAGGGATCACCCGCTGCACACCATCCGCGCCAGGAGCGCACACGTGGTGACAGCGGGGCCCTGCCAGGCCAGCCTCTCATCCCTTCTTGGACCCGTCCAGGATGGTCCTCTGGGCGCCCAGCTGCTTGCGGTCCTCGAGGAGGTCGCGTAGCTGGCCGAGCTTGAGAAGCGGGAAGATCTTGGCGTCCTGGGTCGGGTTGGAGGACATGGCCAGGAGCTCCGCGACAAGTGCCGCGTGCTCGGAAGGGACATCCATGGCGTCGGCTCCGCCAGCCGCAGTTGGCTCCGCCGTCGCCGCACTCGCAGGCGCCACGCCGCCATGGACAGCACCAGGGCCCGCGACAGCCTCCGCAGGCGAAGAGCCCGCACCAGCCGCGCCGCCCTCGTCCGCCGAGACGTCCATGGCGGCCGCAGCTTCAGCTTCAGCTGCGGCCTCGCCCCGCTCCAGAGCCCGCATCCCAGCAAGCCTCGCGCGGCGGCGTTTCCTCCGCTCCACTTGCGCCTCCGTGCGGACACGAGGGCGAGCAGCAGCAGCGGCGGGACGTTCAGGAGCTCCTTCAGCGTCGTCTCCCGCCGACAGCACGGGGGCCCCAGCGCTCTGGAAGAGTGCCGCTGAGACCGCCGACCGTGCGACGGCCGCCACGGTGCGCCGAGGAGCGCCAGCAAGCACAGCGCCTCGGACAGCGGCCTCAACCAGCGAGGCAGCCAGGGAGGGCGGCGCGCAAGCCCCTCTAGGCCCCGCCATCGCGCGCCGAGGGGCAGCGCGAGCAAGGCCGTGCGATCGCTTGAGCCAAAATGAGGAGGAGGAGGAGAAGAGGGGGAGACGAGGGAGATGGAGAGGGCGAAGGGGAGGGAGGAGGAGGACGAGGAGGGGGAGAAGAGGGAGATGGAGAGGGCGAAGGGGAGGGAGGAGGAGGACGAGGAGGAGGAGAAGGAGCAGGAGGAGGAGGAGGGAGGATACGAGGTAGGAGGGAGGAGGTAGGACGGAGAGGCGATGCTGCTGCTGCTGCTGATGATGATGGTGATGATGATGATGATGATGATGATGATGATGATGATGATGGTGATGATGATGCTGATGATGATGCTGATGATGATGACGATGATGATGATGCTGATTATGACGCTGATGATGACGCTGATGATGATGATGACATTGATGATGATGATGCTGATGATGATGATGATGCTGATGACGAGGCCGATGATGATGCTGACGACGTTGATGCTGATGATGATGCTGATGATGCTGACGATGATGCTGATGATGCTGATGATGAAGATGATGCCGCTGATGCTGATGATGCTGATGCTGATGCTCATGATGATGCTCATGCTGAAGACGATGACGATGACGATGACGATGCTGCTGATGATGATGCTGCTGATGGCGGCGATGATGGCGATGATGACGCTAATGATGATGCTGATGACGATGATGATGATGATGATGATGGTGATGGTGATGGTGATGACGATGATGATGCTGATGATGATGATGATGATGATGATGATGATGATGATGGTGATGATGATGGTGATGATGATGATGATGATGATGCTGGTGATGCTGATTATGATGATGATGACGACGATGATGATGATGATGATGATGATGATGATGATGATGATGATGATGATCACGATGCTGATGATTATGATTATGATGATGCTGATGATGATGATGATGATGATGATGACGATGACGATGATGATGACGATGCCGATGATGCTGCTGATGCTGGTGATGAGGATGCTGATGATGGTGATGGTGTTGATGCTGATGCTGATGCTTATGAGGAGGAGGAGGAGGAGGAGGAGGAGGAGGAGGCAGAGGCAGAGGAGGAGGAGGAGGAGGGAACGGGAGAGGGAGAGGGGGAGTTGGAGGAGGAGGAGGAGGAGGAGGAGGACGAGGAGGAGGGGGAGGAGGAGGACGAGGAGGAGGAGGACGAGAAAGAGGAGGAGGAGGAGGTGGAGGCGGAGGCGGAGGCGGAGGAGGAGGAGGAGGAGCAGGAGGAGGAGGAGGAGCAGGAAGAGCAGGAGGAGCAGCAGGAGCAGGAGGAGCAGGAGGAAATCGTTTTGGACCTCCGGGGGGCATCTTGGAGGCTTCTCGGAGGCCTGCTGGCGGTCTCGTGAGCCCCCCTGGGGTGGAGGGCTCGAAATGTAAGTTCGAATCCTCCTCTTGGGGCCCCTTTGAATGCCCTGTCGGGGCTCTCGTGGGCCGTCTTGGGCGCCTCGTGGGCCGTCTTCGGCCTCTCTTGGGCAGCTTTGATGCCTCATTGGCGGCCTGATTATGTGGCCGTCTTGGGGCGGCAATCTGAAGGTAGCAGTTGGGCCCCAAGACGCCCCGACATCATTCCGTGCCCATTTTGGCTCAAGCTGGTCAGGCCTTGTTCGCGACCATCGTGAGCGATCGTGCGCGCAGAGAGCCGTCACCCCCGACACCTCCCGCCATGGCGAAGGCCAGATTCCTGCTGTTGGTCGCCGCCTCCCTCCTGGGTGTGGGCGCCTCGGCGCCGCAGGGGCGCCTCGCTTGGGGGGGGAAGGCCCACCGGCGGCTGTCGGGTGACGACGGGCCCCCCGTCACGGACGAATGCTTGGGCGTGTGCCCAGGACTCTCAGATATGGTGGCTGCGTATAACGCGTTTGCAGAGCCTGAGAGTGAATACCAGGCGCAGGAGATGATCATGGACCTCTACTGTGACCACGAGAGTGCAGTTCAGTGCTTCGTAGACGAGCTGTCCACGTGCAGCAACTCCTCGGGAGCAGAAGGCTTCATCATGATGGCCTCCAAGCTGAAGTGCATCTGTGACACGTGCCCTGGCGGCAAGACTGCGTGGGCCAAGCTTATGTACAGCATGGAGTCCAGTGACGAGGACAGCGGATCTGGGATGGTGGGCACGACCACTTTGGCAGATGGCACTGGCACAACCGGGGCCGACGATGGCAATTTCGACAAAGAGTCACTGTGCCCCTTTTACACTTTCGTCCTCTGCGCCGACGAGTATGCGACGGATTGCGGCGCCATTCTCGAGGAGATGAACGTCAGTTTCTCAGGGGACGCGGTCGCCATGCTCGAATCGGAGTGCACGGGCGATTACGCCCCTGGAGCGGACGACGACGACGACGACGACGACAACACGGGGGACGTTGTCGGAAGTTGTGGCCCGTTCGGCCTGGGATGGATCGCCGCGTCGCTGGCCCCAGTGATGGCGGCGCTTGAGTGCGTGGCGGCCTGAGCCTGATGCTACCTCCCCAGACCCCCTCGCGTCGTGAAAATATCACGGACGGAGTGTTCTTCTCTAGTTGCTGGTTTCGTGCCGCGCTCGGCCCGACCCGGGGCGGCGTGGGAGCAGGAAGACTTCCTCCTGCGCCGCCGACCGTGGTCCAGGCGCTGTCCCTTTCCAAGCATGCGGCCGCTCGCCCTGAGGAGGGGTTCGGTCGGGCAGGCGCCACTTTGGCTGCGTTTCGGGTCGGTTGCGAGGGCGCTGGCCCGGCACGGGATACCGCGGGACAGAAGGTATTCGCTGCGCGAAGCTCCCCGTATGTGCATCTATTGGCATTGACCTGTCCGCCGTGAGTGTCTAGTCGCAAGAGCTTTCGGATGTAAGCGGGCTTGAGTATTGGCGGTCCGGGAGTGAATACAATTGTGAATGAACTGGAGCGTGAATGGGTTTCAGTAGTACCAGTGCGTCTCTGCGCATGAGCCTGGGGCCTTCTGGGGCCTCTTGAAACCTCCTGGGGCCGACTGGAGCCTCTTGGGACCTCCTGGGGCCTCCTGGGGCTTCCTCTGGCCTCCTGAAGCCTCCTGCGGCCTCGCGTGGCCTCCTCGGGCCTCCAGAAGCCTCCTGGAGCCTCCTGGGGCCTGCTGGGGAGGATTCGTGCCCCAGGAGAGGCCCAATCTATGGGAACAGACGTGAAGCACTTCGGATTGGAGCCACAGGAGAGGGGCAATACACACGCACACACACACACACACACACACGCACGCACGCACACACACACAACACACAACACACAACACACAACACACAACACACAACACACAACACACAACACACAACACACAACACACACACACACAACACACAACACACAACACACAACACACAACACACAACACACAACACACAACACACAACACACAACACACAACACACAACACACACACACACACACAACACACAACACACAACACACAACACACAACACACAACACACAGCACACAACACACAACACACAACACACAACACACAACACACAGCACACAACACACAACACACAACACACAACACACAACACACAACACACAACACACAACACACATAGTTCCATTATGATTATATATATGTATAACAAATAGGCCGGGCCCCCTCCCGGGGCGTCCTCCACCTCGATCACATTTGGATTACGCTCCCGGCACCGCGTCCCCGGCCCCCCACATAGGCCCCAAAACGCATCAGAAGAGCCGCAGACAGCCACGAGCAGCCGCCAGAATCTAAAAAGACGATCCGCGATGCTCCCAAGCAACCCAAGATAGCGTTCGGGCGCCTCTCCAGGCTCCCAGGAGGCCCCCAAGAGACTTCAAGAGAGCTCCGAGCGGCCTCCCGAGAGCGCCCGGAGAACCTAATATCGTTCATTCTCATGGTTTTAAATAAGTTTTCAGCCGTCTCACTACTTCATGCCTCCAACGCTCCAAGACGGTCGAAGAGGCCCCCGAGACCGCCCCAAGACCGCCCAAGACGGCCCCAAGACGGACCACGAAGGCCCCAAGATTGCCGAAGAGGCGCCCAGGACAGCTCGAGACCACCCCAGGAGAGGCCCAAGATGCGCCCAAGAGCGGGAGCAGGAGGCCTCCAGAGACCTCCAAGAGGACTCTGGGACCCCCCAGAGGCCCCCAACACGCCCCAGACCCTTGAGAGGCCCCCCAAGAAACCCGACGAGGCCTCCAAAACAGCCCAAGAGAGCTTCGAGAGCCGTCCCGAGAGAGCCCAAAAGGTATAATCGTAGATTTCCAATGGTTTTTGTCGTTGTTTTTCGGCTTCTCACGTTTTCCCGCTTCCAACTCCCCGAGGCCGGGGAACTTGAACAAAAATGGGAATTCCAGAGAGCCCCCTTTTTTTCAAGTTGGGACTCCTATATCCTCTTCCGCGAGCCCCATCAAGATTCCGGGCTCACATGCAAACATGTTTCGGGAATGTTGTTGAACTCGCTGACGCTGTCTTGGCACTCTCGGATCGTCTTCGTGTCCTCTTGGCTGCCCCTGAAACCATTGTAGAAATCGACATCCCATGATCCCACGAGTTGAAACAGTGGAATTTTAGATATTTTTTTTTCAAACTCACCCCCTGCTGATTTTTGCACGAAGACCTCGAGAGGCATCCCAACCGACCGTGGCCTGCATCCAGAACACGTCTAACCCGCAGCCCAGGCACCACACCTTGAAAAAAAGGAAATCCCACACGTCATTCTTTTCCAAGTTCGCCCCCCTGTCTACTCTTGTACAGCAGGCTACAATGGAGGCCCCACAATAGAACCCAGGAAGCCTTCGAAGACCCTAAATCGTTGAATACCGAACGGCAATTAATGATTTCTGCAAGCCTTGAACCCGGCTGGTCGGCCAAGCGGGCACACCACGGCCCTTGGCCCGCGCGGGCGCGAGGTTTTCGGGCGTGCCTTTCCGGGCCACGGCTCGTCGGCGCAACCCGACCGAAGGGCCCGCCTCTCCACCCCCGCCCGCCGCTTCCTCCCTTTCCTCCTCCTCCTCCTCATCCTTCTCCTCCTTTTCCTCCTCCTCTTCTTCCTCCTCCTCCTCCTCCTCATCCTTTCCCACCCGCGTCTTTCTCCCCCGTCCCCCGCCTCCCGTTCCTCCCCCTCCTGCCCCCTCCTCTTCTTTTTCACATGGATGAGCTCGTGGTCGGGTGCGCGCGCGAAAATGCATGGCAACGTGCGTAGCTACGTGCCCGGCCGCGTCGCCCGCGTTTCCAGCGGGGCGACAGAAAGCCAGCGAGAAACAGACGGCGAGCATGACAACGCGTCGGCGCGGCGCGGTGCCTGCAGCGCTACGAGAATGCCGCGCGTTCCAGCATGCCTTCATGAAGAGGCAGGGCAACGTGTGCAGCTACGTGCCCGGCCCGCGTGGCCCGCTCCTCTGGAAGGGGGCGGGGGCGCTAGCAAGCAACGAAGAAGCAAGGCGCCAGCGAGCAACGAAAAAAAACAACGCGAGCACGCGTCGGCGGGGCACTGTGCCCGCCGCGCTACAAAAATGTCAACTCGTCCAGCCCGACGCAGGTGTCCTTCAGCACGTCCTGCCACATCTGCCTGCGCATGACTCCTTCGCGGTCGTGCGGGTTCGTCATCTTCGGGTAGAACTACTCCATTGACGAATTGGTGCAGAAGATGCGGGGGCAGCCTCTCGGGATGGTCCCGTTGAAGTGCCTGCACGAAATCCGCCTGCTCAGGTCCAGGTCCAGCAGCTTCTTCACGTGGTTCAAGTTCATCTTGGCCAGGCAGACTTCGTCGATGACCAGTCCGTGGCCCTCGGCGAGCATCCCATCGATTTCCCGGAAGTCGTCGGGGTCGCCCACGAACCAGAAGCCACCCAGGGACACGACCGCCATGAGGGCCTGCGCCAAGCTCGTTTTGCCGAGGCCACCGTCGCCCGACAGCACCAGAGCATGCGCTTTGCACTTCCCGTTCATCCACGCTGCCGCCTCGTCCAGGCCGCCCAGGGAGAACGACGGAAGGCCACGCGGCGCCTCCTTCCGCCACATAGCGTGCTCGAGCACGCCGCGCATCCGCCGAACCTTGGCCACGCACACCCCGACCTCGGTCGGAGTCTCCATGGCCCCGACGTAGTTCCACGACTCCACCTGGCCCTTCTCTTTCAAGCTCCACGCCGCCCTCTCTAGGTCGCGCCCGGACCGGAGCGGCCCGTGGCCGATCCCTTCTGAGATAATGTTGGACACCTCGTCGAAGTTCAACCGCTTTCGCGTCTTGTGCTCCTTCTGCTCCTTCGGCGGGTTCCCATGCGCGTCTCCAGGGTGCGTCGGCTTCTTCAGCTCCTCCTTCAAGTCCAGATTCGGCGGGAATCGGGCGGGCTCCAAGTCCAAGTCCGTGGACGGCTTCTTCCCCGGGATCATGAGGTAGCGAAGATTCCCGACGAAGCGGGGCAGCTTGACCGGGATCATGAGGTAGCGAAGATTCCCGACGAAGCGGGGCAGCTTGAAGCTGAAGGAGATGCGCAGGCCCGTCTCCTTGTAGAACGCGCCAGAGATCTTCCTGAGGGCGATATTTCCTCTCATCAGGTGGGCGGCGTGCTTGTGTACCTCACGGTGATCCTGGGACCGACGAAACGCTTGTGGGGCTCGACGTGGCACGTGGCTTTCTCGACCTTCGCGTTCGTGTGCTTGTTGACGACCTTACGCAGAATCTTGAGGAAGTCATGCTTCGACAAGTCGTCAGGGATGATCTGCTTCTTCTCCCGCCGGACCGCGACGTCCCTCGGGTACGTCCTGGGGCACGATGCGGTCACAAGGCACGCCATCCCACGCATGGACTGGTGCGCTTCCGTCACCTTGTCCTCGTCCGTGGTCTCCCCTTCATTGGCCGTCCACTCCGGCTCATCCTCGATATCGGAGGGAGCATCGGGGGCAGCGGATGACGACGATGAGCTGGAGAAGGAGGTGTTCCTCCTTTTCACATTTTCGATGCTCCGTGGTTCCAAGACGGCCCATGGGGTCCCCAAGATGGGCCCAAGACGGCCTCACACGCCCCCCAAGTGGGCTCCGAGACGAGCCAAGATGGTCGGGAGGCGCCCAAGATGGCCCAAGAGGCACCAAGAGGGCTCCTGGAAAGCCCTGGCAATTTGGTACCAACGGGCCCCTGGCACGCGGCCCTCCGGGAGGGCCAAAATCGGCGCCATGGCTTGGCGGGCCTTCGCGCTCCAAAAGGGCCCTCAAGTGGGCCCAGAGGGCACCAAACTGGGCCCTCAAGGGGGCCAGAAAGCATTGCAGCGCTCCCCGCACGCAGACCATTGCTTGCAAACGCCTCACGTGGCCTCCACGACGCCCCAAGAGAGCTTCCAGCCGATTCCCAGTAGAGCTCCAGGGGCGAGAATCACTGATTTCCCTAGGGGATCGGGTTTTTCAGGAGTTTCGTGCGCTCGCCTGCTCCGCGGCCCGACGCCCGGAGACGGCGCAAGAGCCACCCAACAGGGCCCCAAGACATCCCAAGAGGGCGCCAAGACGGCCCAACTCCGGGCGGCGCCCCACGTGAGCTCGGACACGCCACGAGGGCCCCAAACGAGGCCCTCGGGGCCTCAACACGGCCCCGGCACGCCCATCATTGCTCCGATGCGGGCTCAGTGAGCCTCCGAGGCGCACCGGCAGGGCTTCGAGTTCATCCCCGAGAAAGGCTCCAGGGGCGAAAATCGCTGATCCCCCGAAGGTTTTCCAAGGCTCTGCGTGTGGTCGCCTGCTCCGCTGCTCGATGCGCGGAGACAGCACAAGAGGCGTCCAGCAGGGCCCCAAGACAGTCCAAGCGCGCCAAGACGGCCCACGAGGCGCGCAGAATCGCCCAAGCGAGCTCCAGGTGGCTCCCCAAATGAGCTCAGACACGCCACAAGGGTCTTCAAGGAGGCCCACAGGGCTCCGCCAAGGCCCCAGCACGCCCACCATCGCTTGGATGCCGCCCACGAGGCGTCCAAGACGGCCCAAGAGGGCTATAAACTGCTATCCGAAACAGCCCCAATATGGAGAACACACTGGTTTCCTTTCGGTTGCCCATTGATTTTCAGTGGTCGCCTGCTCCGCTTCCCGACGCTCGGAGACGGCTCGCGAAGAAGCGTGTACGAGGGCCCGAACGCGCCCAAAGGCCCAAAGGCGGCGCCAACCCAGCCCAAGAGGCGCCCAAGAGTCTTTAAGAACTCTGCGGGCGGCTCTCCAAATGAGCCTGGGCACGCCAAGTTGGCCGTGCAGAAGGCCCGCAGGGCCCCAGAACGGCCCCAGAACGCGCACCAAAGGCCCACAGAGGTTTCCACGAGGGCTCCCACACGGGCGCGCTCTCGGGTTCCCGGAGAGCCCTCCGGGAACCTGAAAACGCGCCCGCCATCAGATCCCGCATCTTTTGGCCTTGCTCTGGGGAGCCTTCCGCGAAAGAAGGGGATAGAGATAGAGAGAGAGAGAGCGAGAGAGAGAGAGAGAGTCATACATACATACATACATACATACATACATACATACATACATACATACATACATACATACATACATACTTACATACATACATACATACAGACAGACATACATACATCAATACATACATCCATTCATTCACTCACTCACTCACTCACTCATACATACATACGTACATACATGCATACATACACACATACATACATACATACATATAGACCTACCTACCTACCTACCTACCTACCTACCTACCTACCTACCTACCTGCATACATACATACATGCATGCATGCATACGCACATACGTACGTACATACATACATACATACACACCTAATATCATACAATCATACATACAAACCGACATATACACAGACAAACAGATAGACATACACTCGGACGGACAGACATACCCACATACATACAAACATGCGCGCGTTCAATAATATGGTTATGCATACGTCTATATATATATATATATATATATATATTCACATACACAAACATACATCTACATATACACACACGTCTCTCGGGGGAAGGGAATTGGGGCCCAGAGGCCACGGCCTCGAACTCCCAATGTTTTGGACGCTGTGCGGACCAAACTGGTGAATGTGTTGAACATGCACATCTTCCGCAGGAAACGGGGCGATTTGTTGGGCCTCTCGGGGCCCTCTTGGGGAATTTCTCGAAGAGCTCTCGGGGGCGCCTTGGAGACCTCTGGAGTGGCTGGGAGGTCATCTTGAGCGGTCTGGGGCACCCTTGGGGCGCTTTCGGGTGCTCTCGGCTGCCTCTTGGCCAGCCTGGAAGCCATGGCGGGCGCTCCTGGAGCGCCCCGGGGGCTGTCCTGAGCGGCCGGGGAGCGGCCCGGGAGGCCCCAGCGGGCTGCGGCGGCGCTGGGTCCGGGCTGCCCCTCTCCATCCTGCTGCTCCTCCTTCGAGTCCTCATCCCCCTCTTCCTCCTGGTCCTCCCACTCCTCCACCTCTTCTTCCCCCGTCCCCCGTTTGTCCCCTGCCTCCGACGACCTGAGATGTTCTACGTAGTCTCAGACTTCCCCCTTGTGGGGACGACGACGAGGGTGACGACGTCGATGACACGGGGGAGGAGGAGGAGGATGAGGAGGAGGAGGAGGAGGAGGAGGATGTCAAGTTTCATGTTAGGGCCCATCCTGGTTTTCTGGGGCCCTCTTTGGCTTTCCTTGGGCCGTCCAGGAAGTGTCGGTGGGCAGCTCGGTACTGTCGCGGCTATTGCGAAATGAGTGTGTGGGACTTTTGAGCTGTGGTGTTTCTCTCTTGGGGATTGTCTCTTGGGACCCTCGTGTGGCTCGATTGGGGATGGCCTGGGGCCAAATGTAAAAGGTTGGGCAACGAGAACGCCGCCATCGTGCCTGGGTTGTGGGTCAGAGGCCTCTTGGAGGCGCTCGGCTCTTTTGGGAAGACTCTTTGAGCGTCTTGGAAGCAGTGGGCCTATGAGAGGCCCTTTGGGGGCCTCTAGGAAATCCTTTTGGACCTCCGGGGGGCATCTTGGAGACTTCTTGGAGGCCTGCTGGCGGTCTCGGGAGCCCCCTTGGGGCGGAGGGCCCGAAATGTAAGCTCGAATCCTTCTCTTGGGGCCCCTTTGAATGCCCTGTCGGGGCTCTCGTGGGCCGTCTTGGGCGCCTCGTGGGCCGTCTTCGGCCTCTCTTGGGCAGCTTTGATGCCTCAATGGCGGCCTAATTATGTGGCCGTCTTGGGGCGGCAATCTGAAGGTAGCAGTTGGGCCCCAAGACGCCCCGACATCATTCCGTGCCGATTTTGGCTCAAGCTGGTCAGGCCTTGTTCGCGACCATCGTGAGCGATCGTGCGCGCAGAGAGCCGTCACCCCCGACACCTCCCGCCATGGCGAAGGCCAGATTCCTGCTGTTGGTCGCCGCCTCCCTCCTGGGTGTGGGCGCCTCGGCGCCGCAGGGGCGCCTCGCTTGGGGGGGGAAGGCCCACCGGCGGCTGTCGGGTGACGACGGGCCCCCCGTCACGGACGAATGCTTGGGCGTGTGCCCAGGACTCTCAGATATGGTGGCTGCGTATAACGCGTTTGCAGAGCCTGAGAGTGAATACCAGGCGCAGGAGATGATCATGGACCTCTACTGTGACCACGAGAGTGCAGTTCAGTGCTTCGTAGACGAGCTGTCCACGTGCAGCAACTCCTCGGGAGCAGAAGGCTTCATCATGATGGCCTCCAAGCTGAAGTGCATCTGTGACACGTGCCCTGGCGGCAAGACTGCGTGGGCCAAGCTTATGTACAGCATGGAGTCCAGTGACGAGGACAGCGGATCTGGGATGGTGGGCACGACCACTTTGGCAGATGGCACTGGCACAACCGGGGCCGACGATGGCAATTTCGACAAAGAGTCACTGTGCCCCTTTTACACTTTCGTCCTCTGCGCCGACGAGTATGCGACGGATTGCGGCGCCATTCTCGAGGAGATGAACGTCAGTTTCTCAGGGGACGCGGTCGCCATGCTCGAATCGGAGTGCACGGGCGATTACGCCCCTGGAGCGGACGACGACGACGACGACGACGACAACACGGGGGACGTTGTCGGAAGTTGTGGCCCGTTCGGCCTGGGATGGATCGCCGCGTCGCTGGCCCCAGTGATGGCGGCGCTTGAGTGCGTGGCGGCCTGAGCCTGATGCTACCTCCCCAGACCCCCTCGCGTCGTGAAAATATCACGGACGGAGTGTTCTTCTCTAGTTGCTGGTTTCGTGCCGCGCTCGGCCCGACCCGGGGCGGCGTGGGAGCAGGAAGACTTCCTCCTGCGCCGCCGACCGTGGTCCAGGCGCTGTCCCTTTCCAAGCATGCGGCCGCTCGCCCTGAGGAGGGGTTCGGTCGGGCAGGCGCCACTTTGGCTGCGTTTCGGGTCGGTTGCGAGGGCGCTGGCCCGGCACGGGATACCGCGGGACAGAAGGTATTCGCTGCGCGAAGCTCCCCGTATGTGCATCTATTGGCATTGACCTGTCCGCCGTGAGTGTCTAGTCGCAAGAGCTTTCGGATGTAAGCGGGCTTGAGTATTGGCGGTCCGGGAGTGAATACAATTGTGAATGAACTGGAGCGTGAATGGGTTTCAGTAGTACCAGTGCGTCTCTGCGCATGAGCCTGGGGCCTTCTGGGGCCTCTTGAAACCTCCTGGGGCCGACTGGAGCCTCTTGGGACCTCCTGGGGCCTCCTGGGGCTTCCTCTGGCCTCCTGAAGCCTCCTGCGGCCTCGCGTGGCCTCCTCGGGCCTCCAAAAGCCTCCTGGAGCCTCCTGGGGCCTGCTGGGGAGGATTCGTGCCCCAGGAGAGGCCCAATCTATGGGAACAGACGTGAAGCACTTCGGATTGGAGCCACAGGAGAGGGGCAATCCACAGGAGAGGGGCAATACACACACACATATATATATATATATATATATATATGTTTATCCTTGGATGCAGTTTTCCTCCGCGTCGAGCGGCCAAGCGAGAGGGGATCCGCCAAGTTCGGGGTGTTTGCTCGATGGATATAGGCCGGTACGCCCGAAAATAGACGCATGGGCCGGCACCGAACAAAATCTTCTCTCGCGGCCATTCTGGTTTCAAGGCTTGCATAGGCCTGCACCGCGCCGGATGCCCCTCCCCCTCGCGGCCATCGGGCAGTGGAGCGCGGCGCTGGTTTCTGTCTGGGCCAGCCGCTGCCCAGCCTGCCCGGCCTGCCCGCCCTGCGGGTCGGTCGACGTCACCTGTGGCATCTGCCCGGCGGCGCCAGCGGTGGCGTGCCCGGCGGTGCCAGATCCTCGGCCGTGCCCCGAGCTGGCCTGCCCAGCCCCCCCCCTGGCCTCGCTGGACTGGGCCACGTGGCTGGGCCTGGGCTGGGTCCTGGGCGTGCTGTGCGCCGTGGCGGCGCTGGCGGTCTGCGCGCCCGTCGCGGCCCTGCTGCACGGGTTCTCCGCCCGGGCGCCAGCGCGCCCGGCAGGCGACGGCGGGGCTGGCCCCGCGACCTGGCCTAGGGCCATTCGTGGCTGATGGCTCGGGCGCAGCCCGAGACCTTGGACATCGTGGAGAGCCAGGTCTGCATCGCGTTCGACGACGACCCGAACTTCCGATGGCATCACCGAGTTTTACTGGTCCCCTCGCCCACTCCGGGCCACTGGGTGGCCGCGACCCCCGATGCCGAGATCTACCTGCTGAAGCTGGACGAGTATCGAGTGGTCGCCCTGGCACGGGCGGCCGTGTTCCCGCCGAGGGTTCGAGGCCAGGTCTACGCGTTCGGAGCTCTCTCGGACGCCGACCTGGCCAACCTGCGGCGCGACGGGCGCAACTTCGCGAAGGTGCTGGGCTTTTCCCTTCCCGCCGCGCAGCCTGGGGTCGACGTCCCTCGGTGGATCGTCGCGGACCCAGCGAGCGACCACTTCGGGGAGGAGGTGGGCCTGGAGCGGATCACCTCGGCCGAGCGGTTCATCAGCCGCGACGCGGTGGCTCTCGTCATGCTGTCCGACGCCGAGGGCTGGGTCGCCGCCGAGAACGCGCAGCTCAGCGACGAGCCGGACTGGAAGGCGGAGAAGAGGGCTGGCCCTGGCAGGGACCGCCGCGTGCTGCCGCAGACGGGCGTGTCTGCGCATACCGTCTCACTGGCGCAGCTTGTGGCCCTCCTGAAGAGCGTGGATGTGGAGGACTGGCCGTTCGAGGGGCCCAAGGCTCCCGTCGAGTTCTTGGCCGCAGTGGTCTCGTCTGGGCACTCGCTCTCGTCGTGCTGGGGCTTCTGGGTGGCCCAGTCGGGGGTCTCGCGCGGACCGGCAGAAGGCGAGGAGCACCGTCCTCAAGCAGGAGAGGATGTACCGGGAGGAGGCCGACCACGAGGACAAGCAGTACCGCAACGAGCAGAGGGGCGAAACCAGGCCCCCTCGCCCCAAGGCCAAGCCGAAAGGCAAGGCCAGACCTGGGCCGGCTGGCGCTGGATAGCAAGCCGGGCGCCCCGGCGCCCCCCGCGGCCGCGGCGCCGCCTGCCGCAGCCGCCGGCGCACCGCGACGCCATGGCCACCACCCTGGATCGCGGCTGCCTCCTCGTCGAGGGTTCCTCCTCGCGGGGGCCCCCGCCCTTGTTCCCGCTTCCGGTCACGGAGGCCTTCTACTCGCATCCGCCGCGAGGGGAACGTACCGCTTTGCCTCGGTATAAGGCGCAGCGTGCGGCAGCCGCTGATCGTCGCTCGGCTCGCGCCATCGAGACGGTCACGACCCTCAATGGGATGGCCGCCGCTTGGGCTGGGAGGGAGGTCGTGCTTCGGCCCCCTCGGAGGACAGGGGGCGCCGACATCGCCCAGGAGTCGGCGCGCAGGCGCATCCGCCGTCGGATCGCGGCCTTTGGTGAACGGCCCGCCGACTTGGATGGAGCTGGAGCCCTCCCGGAGCTCCTCGAGACCAGGGGCGTCTACGGCGGCCTTGACGCTTCCACGACTGTGGTCGATTTTGACTCGAGCCGCCTCGACATCCTGCGCAAGGGCCATTTCTCCACGCCGCTCGACGACGTGGCCCCCCAGAGCGTCAAGGGCGTGCTCGACAACTTCGACGCGACCGTCGTTCGCCCGCTCTCCGAGCTGCCAGAGGACGAGCCGCTGGCGCAGCCGTACTGGGACCCGCAGCTCGACCCACGCCGTCGCGGCACGCGCCCGGCGCTGGTGGCCTTTCTTCGCGCGCTGGCTGGCCGAGGGCTCGTTGGAGCCCGGGCCCGTCGGAAGTCGTGCATCTCCGCCTTCTTTGTTCGCAAAAAGAACGGCGACCAGAGGACGGTGCTGGATGCCCGGCAGGCCAACCAGCTGCAGCGCCTCCCGCCCAAGACCGCGCTCGCTTCGGGTGAGGCGCTCGCGGCGATCAACCTCGTGGACGCCACCGACCTCAACCCCGACGACCTCGACGTCGATCGTGACGACCGGGGGCGACCTGGTGGCCGGCTCGGTGGACCTGCAGGACGGCTTCTACCAGTTCCGCCACCCGGCCTGGGGCTCCTGGATGTGCGTCGACATCGAGATGGACGCGGGCGAGATCGGGGTGACCCAGCTCTATGATGAGGAGCTCGGCCGATCGACACCATGGGCACCGTCTTCGGAGACAAGGGCTCCTGGTGCCTGGACAAGGGCAAGCCGCCCTCCCTGCTGAACGGGGCGGTTGCTCACGCCCCCTATGTCGACAACTCGAACCTGATTTCCCTGGGCGCTGGCGAGCTCGACCAGCGCCTCGGCGCCGTCGCGGACGAGCTAGAGAGGAGGGGGCTCTGCTGGCACGAGTTGCAGCACGCCACCTCGTCGCAGGGCATCCTCGGTATCGAGTTTGACGGCCGACGCGGTCGCCTTCGCCACGCGTCTCGGCGGGCGTGGCGCCTGTACCTTGGCCTGCGCGAGGTACTACGCAGGCCAAGGCTCGCCCGCTGGCACGTCAGGAGGCTGCTCGGACACATCGTGCACTACTTCAGCATCATGCGGCCCGCCCTCAGTGTGCTGGGGGAGTCCTATGCCTACCTCGAGTCGGGCCCCATGGAGGGCGTCTCCCGCCTGCCGTGGAGCGTCTTGACCGAGCTCCGCTGCGCTGCTGGGCTCGTGCTCCTCGGCCAGGTGGACCTGCGCCGACCACCGGCGCCGGTGTCCTTCACCGCGGACAGCTCGATGCTGGGGCACGCCGTCTGCGCGGCGGAGCTCCTCGGGCACGAGGTGCTCGACGCTTCGCGCTGGCGCGAGAGGCAGCGCTTCAGCGAGGTCGAGGTCGCTGGCGACCCCGCCGCGGGGCTGGCCGACGTCTCCGACCTGTGCTGCGACGACCTCGGCGCCGCCGACGCGGGACGCCCCCGCCGGCAGGCGCGGGCTCGCCGCCGGCCGGCGCCAGGAGATGGAGGCGGGTCGCCCCCCGCCTGCTCTGCCCCCCGAGCTGGTCGACCCGCAGCGGTGGACCGAGGCCTTCCGAGGCGCGCGGCGGCATCCCGGCCGCATCCACAGCCTGGAGGCCCGCGCCTCGGTGATCGGGCTAGGCGCGGCGGCGCGCCAGGTCAACTGCCGCGGGACCGAGCTGCATAGCCTCTCGGATAACTTGTCCAGCGTCCTGTCGTTCGAGAAAGACCGCGCCAGCAATCGGGAGCTTCTCGCACAATGTCGGCGGGCCGGCGCCCTGCAGCTGGGCGCCGAGATCACGTGGCGGGTGCGTCGCGTTCCAGGATGCGTGAACGTTGCTGACTGGGGGAGTCGGGCCGCGGATTGCCACGAATTGCTACCTGGCTGGACCCGCGGGGTCGGCTTCAGGGCCCGCCCGCCGGCGCCCGGCAGGTGGTCTCCTGTCGTGAGAGCCAGCGGCGGCCCGCCCTGTCTCGGGCCTGCGGAGCCCGAGCCCCTCATCACCAGCGTTGCCTTCGCGACTCGGCCGTCGCCGAGCCGCGTCTCCAGGCTTCCAGGGCTCGGAGAGAAACCTATCGGTTGCACGGGACAGTGGAGCGAGGACTTCGCACAAGGGATCATCCTCTCTACCACCCCAGCTGAGTCTGTTATCCCATCCTGTTCTTCCCCTCCTCCGCCATGCTCCACGCCGTCGAGATCACGCACAGGTTATCGTTCACAGATCGGGTCGTCAAGCTCTTCGGCAGGTCACTGGCCTCAGATTGGGTCTCCAAGTGCATCGGCTTGTCAGCGCCCCAAGGCTGGGCCCTCCGCTTCGTCGGCTTCTTGGGCTTCGCGGGTCAGGCCATCGGCATCATCGACGAGTCAAGGTCCCCAGGCTGGGTCATCAAGCTCTTCGGCTCCCCCGCGGGCACGCCATGGGCCTCGTCAGTGGTGCTCCTCAGGGTCTTCGTCTCAGGCCCCGCGGGGCCGGCAGTCAGGCCGCGCCAGTTTCCTGGAGCTGTTCGCTGGAGGTGCAAACTTGTCGGGGGCCTTCCACGAGGCCGGGCTCCGCATCGCTTGCCATCTGGACATCGCAAACGGGAAGCATCATGACCTCACTCACCCTGGCGTCCGTAACGCTGTCTTGGCTTGGATTGCACAGCGCCGCTTCTGGTGCATACATATTGGCCTTCCGTGTACACACTGGGTGCCGGCTGGGGGAAACCGGGAAGCCGGCCTCCACGCCCGGCAGACCTCGCTCTCTTCAGCTTCGCCGTGCGGGTGCTCAAGCTCTGCCGGAAGCTGAACATCTTCGTGCCCCTGGAGAACCCAGGCCCCAGCCGGGTCTGGCGCTGGGCGCCCCTGGAGAGGGAGCTCCGGTACCACAAGCCGGGCAAGGTCGTCTACGACTCCTGCCGCTTCGGGGCCCCCTTCCAGAAACCAGGAGCTGTTGCCGGCACGCTGCCGGGCCTGGAGCTGCTGGGCCGCCGGCGCCAGTGTGGCCGACCACGTCGTGAAGTTCTCCAGGGCAAAGTTCGCCATCCTACGAGAGGGTGGGTCTGGCGGACTACCTTGGCCGGCGCGTATCTCCCGGAGTGGTGCCGAGAGCTCGTGCGCATCGCCTCGCTCCCCACCCCGAAGTCCGCCTATGGCCGAGCCGCGCCCAGAGACCTCGCGACTTGGGATGGCGCCCCGGCAGCCGCGGCGGGCGAGGTCCGCCTCCGCGCCCCCGGCGCCCCGCTCTGCCCGCAGAGGTTCCGGCTCCCTTGGCGAGCCGCTAGGGCCTCCGCGCTCGACCCGCGCCCCCGCCCCTCGGGGGCCGATCGCGGGGCCGCAGCGTTGCGTGACATGACGCGGCGCGGCGCCGTACGTCAGAGTTCACCGTGTCAGCGCATAATTATCCAAGGATGGTTCAGCATGCCATAGCAGTGCGTTCCATAGCAGTGTCTAGCTGAGCCTAGCTCTGCACGGCACGACGTAACATTGCCTAGCATGGCGTGGCGTCTCATGAAACAATGTGGCGTACAATGGCATTCCAATGCGCATCAAGTAATCGAACAGCACCGTACTGTTCTGCACAACAGTAAGCAGAACTGATGCGAATATCACACCCCCGTTGTTGCTGGTACCGTCGTCCTGTTTATTTTAGCCAGGTAGCTCAGATCATGGCATAGCATTGCATGGCATTGCGTTGCATTGCGTAGCACGGTATGTAATGTCTGTGCATACCACGCAACGCGGCACCATCGTTCTTCATAGAAAACATAGCGTGGTATGGTTCAGCGCATCATCCCACATAATATCATAGCCTTCCACACCACAGCATGGCATGGCATGCGCTGCGCACTGTAGAATATCGTGTCTGTCATTGCATATTGTAGTGTTGCACTGCGCTTTATAGCGCAGCATGGTGTTTGAGGGCATTCCATACCATAGTGCAACATGGCGCTGTAGCGCTTCATTTTTCCTGGCCCGGCGAGAGATCACTGGTCGACTGGTCGGTGAGAGCGGAGGAGGAGGAGGAATGAAGAAAGGGCAGGAGGAAACATAAAATATTGACTTCATTATTCGTGACCTGTTTTGTTGTCTCAATGCGGTCAGCAGCCGACCAGCTAGAACCTGAGCGCGCGAAATGCGCGCCATGGTGCTACTAACCTGGTGCCCGGATAATACATCATCACCCCCTGAGCCCCTACATATTTTTCGCCCCGTGTCAAGCGGAGTTAAGTAGGGAGAGGGGCGCGGAGGCCGAATTTGATAATCACCGGGGGAATTTGCGAATCGAATTTGCGATCATCTCATGTTGACTAGCAGCAGCACCAAAAGCGCTGAACATAGCAATGGTGGTCTCACCATTTCAGCAATCGCAATCAGGAGCGTGTGGCAGGGCTTTCTCGAGTCAAGAACGTGCGGCAGGGCCATAGGGGCCGATTGAATTTCGAAGTTGCATGCGTTGTCGAGCAGGCGCAGCACTGGAGTTACTTTTTTTGCGCATCCCTCACACGGTTCGTGGCCCCTCGTCGTCGTCCTCCTCCTCCTCCTCCTCCTCCTCCTCCTCCTCCTCCTCCTCCTCCCCCCCGTGCAATTTCCCAGGGCCGAGCTTCCCCGAGTCTCCGAGACTCCAAGCTGTCGAGCCTCTTCGAGGCACCCGGCTGCACCTCCCCCAGGGGCAACGATAGGGGGGATGAGGCATAAGGGGACGCATCGATCCCCCAATCGCCCATTGATCGCAGAGAGTGGTTTGATGGCCCGAACCTGCTTAGGAGCGTGCGGATTCACGATCGGGCGCCCATCGCCGATGCAACCCGATGCATCGGCGATGTATCGCCGATTCCAGGTCGACTTCCCCCCCCAATGCCGATCCCCCCCGCATCCTTGCCCCGCAGTGCGTCGCGAGCCTCAGCCACGCGGCGACGCAGCAGGTCGAGGCCATGAGGAACGTCGCGACCCGAAGCGCGAGCCCGAGCTCGAACGAGATATTCGAGCGCATGGCCAAGCAGATCGAGAAGACCCTCGGCAAGCTGTCCTTCATCGCGGACAAGATCGCTATTGCCGAGATGCGCCAATGCCAACGAGCGCGCAAGGCACTGACGCAGCAAGAATGACTGCCTGATCTTTCGAGGCGGACAGCGCCTCGCGGTCGGCGAGCGCCCGGCAAGCCGTCCTCGAGATGGCCTGCAATTGCGGCTCTTTCAAGAGCATCGAGTACGGGCGCATCCTCGACGAGAAGGGCGAGAGGCGCGTCGAGCTGGCGGCGGCGTTGTCCTACAAGACCGACTGCGAGAAAGACGAGTTTCTTTGCGACGTCTTCGAGAATCACGGAGAGCCGCCGGAGAACCTTCTTCTGGCCCATGCCGAGCTTCGAGACGAAGATGCTCGAGCTTGCCAGGAAGAAGGGCATCGAGCTCGGCGCCGAGAGCGTCCAGCGCCTCAGTTTCGGCGCCTACAACGAGCGCGTCGGCGAGGCCCTCCCCGGCATCCCCTCCGAGCTCCTCCGCCCACCTCCACGACCTCGTGCTGCCGGTCACGAGAGCTTCGAGCCTGCCGAGTAGATGCCCAAGGTCTTCTCCTCCGGCGTGCCGAGCGATCAGCGCTGCGAGATGATCCCCTTCATGGCCATGTCCTTCGTCAACTGGCGCCGCGAGAACGGCGCGGTGCAGAGCATTGACCGCGCGCGAGCCACCGCGCAAGCGGTCGTCAAGTGGCGATGGGGCCACGAGCGCACTGCCAGCATGGCCCACGAGCTCCAGCAGGAAAACTGCATGGACAAGCGTTCCAAGCATGGCCACGCAAGCGCCGAGAGGCAGCTCCGCTTCGAGACAATGGCTTTCGACCAGCACGTCAAGATGAATTCCCTAGAGTTCGGCAAGATCCACGACGACCGCGAAAATGTGCCCAGCCAGCGCGAGCCCGAGGAGAGCCGGGCCGACGCGACGGCGGGGCCAGGGGCCGACAAGTCGACGCCGAAGGACGCTCGAGCGCCGAGCGGCGGCGCGCGGCGCGCGCCTGGCGAGCGAGCGCGCCGGGCCAAGCGCCCCCATGCTTTTCGCCGCGAGGGCGCCGCGCGAGCGTCTCGAGAGGCACGCGCTCGAGCCCCATCTGCTCTCAAGCTCCAAGCGAGCGTTCGAGCGCGCGCGAGTGGCTTTTCAAGCTGCGGGGCATTCCCCCCCCCCTTCTCGCCGAGGGGTCCTCGATCGAGCATCCAGCAATCGAGCAGGCTCGACCCTCCACCTTCGGATCGAGGATCCGACATCTTGGTTCCGAGCATCTCCGAGCTCTTTGGATCCCAGATCCGAGGATCGCTGTGCTTGGGCCCGAGGATCTCGGGTTCTCGATCCGAGGATCGAGTGTCGAGCCCCAGCGATCGTCGATCGCCCCTGTCGCCGTCGTCAGGCCCGGGCCGCCATCAGGGAGGCTCGATCCTCGGTCGTCGGATCGAGGATCCGAGATCTTGGTTCCGAGCGTCTATGAGCGCCTCGGATCCTAGATCCGAGGATCGGCGCGCGTGGATTCGAAAATCTCGGGTTCGCGATCCGAGGATCGAGGCTCGAGCCTCGGCGATCGTCGATCTCCCTCGTCGCCGTCCTCGGGCCTAGACTGCCATCGAGCAGGCTCGACCCTCCATTCTCGGATCGAGGATCCGAGATCTTGGTTCCGAGCATCTTCGAGCGCCTTGGATCCTAGATCCGAGGATCGCCGTGCTTGGACAAGGAGATCTCGGGTTCGCGATCCGAGGGTCGAGCATCGAGCCCCGGCGATCGTCGATCGCCCCCGTCGCCGTCCTCGGGCCCAGACCGCCGCCAAGGAGCCTCGATCCTCGGATCGAGGATCCGAGGTCTTGGTTCCGAGCATCTTCGGGCGCCTCGGATCCTAGATCCGAGGATCGCCATGTTTGGACTCGAACATCCCGGGTTCGCGATCCGAGGATCGAGGATCGAGCCTCGGTTTTCGTCGATCTCCCTCGTCGCCGTCCTCGGGCCCAGACTGCCATCGAGCAGGCCCGATCCTCGATCCACGGATCGAGGATCCGAGGTCTTGGGCCCCAGCATCTGCGAGTGCCTCGGATCCTAGATCCGAGGAT